GGAGGTTTCCATCTTCACGGCCTCATTACGTGAAGGGCGCGAGGGAGTTAAGCCTCGCCGGTTGGATTCGGCGAGCTCGCGTGCCATAAACTCATGTATGGCGAGACGTTGCGCGTCAGGGGTCGCTGATCTCATCAACGACGCGACGAATGCCTCTCCCGATATCGCCGCGAGGCGATTAAGGGCATCCCACTCAACACCAGTAAGATGGGGGAAGGTCGCGTGCTCCAGAAATAAATCTGAAGCGTCAAAGTACGACGATTCGCTCATCCCAAACTCGGGCATAGGAAGGACTACGAAGTGCTACCAGGTGTAACGGGGATAGAACGTACCGTCACTAGCTTACACGTGCGCTTGAGGAAGACTCAAGCCCAAGTATTAGGTATTAAGTAAATTTAACTCTGATTTTTATTTTGGTTTTAATTCGTAATAATTACGAAGATTTTAGTCGTAATAAATACGACAGTGTTCCCGCCTTTCGGGAACCACACAATTTCAGGTTGATTTATCATTGGTCCATATTGGGGACTTTAGGCCCAATAATAAACCAATAATAAATTACCACGCTGTGCCCGCTATTCAGGCCCAGCACCTGCCTACATATGTAATTATTTATTCATATTAATCCTATGTAATGTAGCCCATTACACGCATGGTGGGTCAACGTCAGAGAGCGACCATGGCCTATCGACTCAAGCGAACGGCACTGCGGAGAGAATGGTCGAGGATCTAATGAGATCGCTCAGGATGTACGTAGCCGACGTGGGGCCGCGAGACTGGGATGAATACGCGGAACCTTTAACGTTTGCGTTAAACACGGCTCAAGACAGAGTACGGGAGGAAACACCGTTCTATCTGGTACATGGATGGGATGCTAGGACCACTCTTGAGACTATGTTACCGGTGGTGAACACTCGACGTCGAGAAACAGGACCTCAAAGATGGAGATATCGGATTCAGAGCCACTATCAGCGAGCAAGAGACCAAGTCAACGAGAATTTACGGGCGGCTAGTCAGGCTCGGGTGCAAGTGCATAATGAAGGGGTAGTAGGCCACGAAATTCAGCCAGGGGCCCGGGTATGGCTATACTTAGACCGAGTGAAGGAGGGGTATGCCCAAAAATTGGCCCACCTATGGCACGGACCGTTCCGAGTCCAGGAGTTAGTCGGAGATCTTGCAGTACCTTTGGAATTACGAGGTACAGAATACACCAATCGTGCACATCTCCAAGCTCAAGCCCGTCAGAGAGTTCCCCGATCGACCTAGCAGCGAGCTGAAAGTGGATGGAGTAGATCGGGTCGACTTCGATGAATGTTTGTTACCAGAAGACAGCTGGGTGCGGAAATTGGAAGAGGGCGAGTATGAAGTCGAAGAAATTTTAGAGAGTCGTACAGGCAAGAAGACTCGGTATGGGAGGCAACAACGAGAATTCTTCGTGCAATGGAAGGGACACCCTGACCCCTCGTGGGTGAACGAAGTGGATCTGAATTGCGTAGCCTTACTCCGGGACTACGAGCGCAAGAAGACAAGCCATAACCGCTCTAACTACTAATGCAGAGCCATGAAAACTAGCACATGGTAGCAAGGTTCTTGGAAGGTGGACCGAGTCCCTCAATGGTCGGACCAGCCCCTCGTTGGGAGACTTGGGTCGCCTGCGGGGCGGCCTTGAACTTCCACGAGTTAGGAGTATAGGAGAATGGAGAATAAAGGAGGAAGACTAACAAGATCACCTGGAACAGAGATAAATATGGCAGAGGAGATGGAAGATGGACAGACGCACAAAAATAGGGTCGAAGAGAACGAATGTTCGTGTTCAAAGGGAGACCTAAGATGGCGGCCCAAACTTACCCTTGAGGCACGGGACTAAAGTTCCAGGATGGGGATCGGAAGACAACCAATATTGGGTAAGCAACGGTCACGCGTAATCCGACACCTGAAGGGCCTCGAGCAGATCGACTGGGTCTGACCCCTCCTCACGACCAGGGTACCAGTAAACTACACGGCGGGTACGAGGAAGATGACGGAAGAAAGGGTCCAGGAAAATGTAGAGATCGCAGCGACCCTTGCTCATCTCAACGAAGATAAAGTCGATCACCTCCCGCCACGCTCGATTCGCCCGACTCCGACGCTTCTTCCGCGCGTTGTAATATGACGCAAGAAAATAGTTCGCTCGCGCTTGGACCTTAGAGATTCACAGGCAGTGGGTCGCCTCCCAGAGAGCTTGGCCATGCTCTTCGTCGAACCGTGTGTAGACCGCCGCCAACGGGTGAAACAGTCGACAGGTCGGAAGGAGACATGTGGGACCGAAACATTCGCTGCCACACAAAGGTCAGCATCCGGAAGTTTATGGAGCATGGAAGAGCTCACAAGTGGCTTCTTCCACTTGGGAGGGCGGTCAATGTTCCGTCCGGTGGACCGAAACACCCCCAAGGTAGATCCAACTGGTCCACTAAGTCTTTTGGGGATGCAACAAAAGTTGGCGAGGTCGACCAGCCAAGGTGAAACCTTTGCGGCAGAGAAGGTCTTCAGGTGTATATACCCAGGGATGATGGCATCCTTAGGGAGCGAACAAGAGTCGGTCGGGAAAAGTTTATTGTTTCGACCGAAACCGTGGACGCGTCCTTTTCCTTTCCAGGGGTAGACCCACTCTCCGAGCCAGAAGACCCGAACATCGCTCGTTTTAACGAGAGGCCTGAAGTCGAGGCGGGCTTTACAGCAGACGTAGACGCTGGCGATAGTCACGGGGACCTTTATTCGTTGACGTCGACCGGAGAAACGAGACTTGGCCAAGGCCGCCCGGATCATTTCGCTTTCATCGCTTGGCTCGTCTTCGGAAGAGTCCAGCATGATGGGAGAGTGGCCGCCAGAGACCCCTGACGTAGGCACCGCGGACGTGGGGTTAGTCAACGTGTTAGAATTCATGGACTTGGTGCACCTAGCAGACCCGCGTGACGACTTCCGCCTGGACCGTTTGCCGAGAGCTTTCGTCGGCCTCAAAAGGTGGCCCCACAGCCGTGGGCGGGACCGCCGAAGAAGGAGTTGGTCTCGGAGGCGGCCCACCTGAGAAGTCATCGTGGTCGAGCTCTGCCGCGAAAAGAGAGTAACGACTTTGACTGTGGTCAATCTTACATCTTAGGCGGTCCACCAGCTCAGTTTCTCGCTGTAGAGCTTCGCGGAGTTAAACCACTAGCCAGGAGTTGTCGTGTTACTCCTCTTCCAGGCGCTCACACCGGGTTTCACAAAAAAACGGCGGAAGGGGAGACTACAGCTAGTCTACCCTCGCAGTCCTCTACTCGGCGAGATATTACGTCCACGTTGACCGGCAGCTCATGTAGAGATACGACACCTTAGCGATGTCGACCAGCGCGGGAGACAGATTGTCGGTCGTGGACGCTAGTAAGGCAGAAGTATCGGCCGACTTACGGAAGGAAAAGCAATGGAGTTAGGCGAGTCATCAACGCGGGCAGTTCGGCGGAATTAAAGGGTTTTGATCTTTCACGGCGAGGTCGACCAAGGACGGTCCTTCGGATGGATGTTCTATCGGAGGTGCGGGGACAACCGAGGCCAATTTTTCAGGCGGTGGGTCTGAACTGGGTGAAGAAATTGCTGAAACGACGAAGAAAAGTCGCGGGCTATCAACAAAAGGCAAAGTGAAGGACCTACGTGACTGAAGAGGGAAGGACATGCGCGTGCTCAAACCGCTGTACGGCTGAGCAAGTGCAAGGGGCGGCTGTGATGAAATGCTTGTTGAAATATGGGCAACCCAGAGGCCAGTTGGTTTCGGGGTATAAGAGACCGTGTATCAGGTAGATGAGACCAGAGAGACAGGATCTCGAGGGGAAGCGACCGTTGGCGGAGAACAATTTGCGGGACTTAAAAAAGAGAAATCATTATCAGGGTACCGTTTTAAACGGTACCGAAAGGAGTCGTCCACGGTTCCCCTTGAAAGTCCCGAACCATTATTGGTCGACCTGGTCCTTCATTGGTAGACCTCGGTCCCTCATCGGTAGACCCGGTCCTTCATCGTTAGACCCGTTCCCTATTCGGTAGACCTGGTTCCCTCGAGGTTCCAGCCACTCTTAGTCAGTCAACTCAAGGAATCAGAATCACTTAACACAAGGAATCAGGGCTTCAGGCAAGGATAGAGTAAAGGAGTGTAAAGGATAGGACTATATCAAATACTACTTAATTTGCGATCTACGTTGCTCAACTTCGTCGTCACAGTAAGTGGTTTGGGGTTTCATCATAAAAATTTTGTGAGCCAACTCCACCACATCTGCGTGTCGTAAGTGAAGCTCTTGGCTTAGCAGTTCGTTGCGCGGTTCGCTTAGAGCGACCGGCAACGGTTGGTATAGCGCTTTTAGCGCCGACCAACACCACCACCACCGCACGCGGAGGTAAGACGGTCTAATCGCTTCCTCACGCTGCTTGCAGGTGTTTGCTTTCGTAGTACGTGGCAGCTTCTATAGAAGTGCCCGTTCACAAACAGGGCATCAAAATTAAATTTGTCGTCGCCAAGCACCAGCAAGAGCAGTAAATTAAAAATCGCTATAATAACAAGCTATATAACTATAAAAACAGCCAGCCTGCCTACCAAATTGAAGTGCAGCTTAACACCATGCTGATCAACGAGAATACTAGAGTCTTTTTGTGACGTTAAATGGGTTGTAATTGCAATGAGATGTCCGATATGGCAACAGTTAGTAAAAATTAATCAAATTTCAATAAGTGTGTAATACATAGCGCCTCAAATTTTTTTGCGCTTTCACTGGTACAACCTTAGCGCAACATTCTTAAGATCTCTAGGTAGGGGGAGTCAAGAAGAACCTTACAGCGAGTAGCTCGAAGACATCATGGTAAGCGACTCCCTGCATCACCACCACACAAATACGCGCGCCAGTGCTACATACACCGTGCTGACAATCTTACATGTAATTGTATACGCCTTTTTGCTTCCTAATTAGTCCATCTTATCGTACAACGGAGCAGCAATAATCGCCATGGCAGGGAAAGATTGTGTCGGCATCGCATGGTAATTGCACGCTACAAACCCACACCAGTCAATGTCACCACCAACTTACTGTTTATTGTGGACAAACAGTGATACTAGACTAGGCATGCAGGCACAGACGGTGGCCATGGACTTTCAAAAGGTGTTCCGTGTGACAGACAAGACATTCCTGGGTCTGGCGGGTCTGGCCACAGACGTGCAGTCTGTTTCGCAGCTTCTAAAGTTCAAGATCAACATGTACAAGATGAATGAGGAGCGCGACATCAAGCCCAAGACGCTGAGCGCGCTACTGTCCAATATGATGTACGAGAAGAGGTTCGGCCCGTGGTTCGTAGAACCCGTGATCGCCGGCCTGACAGAGGATAACAAGCCCTTCTTGTCCAGCATGGACTGCCTGGGCTGTGAGATGATGACTCAGGACTTTGTGGTGGCTGGAACTATGGAAGAGGCACTCTACGGTATGTGCGAGTCGATGTATAAGCCCAACATGGAGGAAGAGGATCTGTTCGAGACACTCTCGCAGTGTCTTTTGTCTGCCTGCAATCGCGATGCCCTCTCGGGTTGGGGCGCCGTCGTCCACATCATCACACCCAAGGGCATCACTTCCAAGAAGCTGCAGTCACGCCAGGATTAGGCGTCACAAGCGTTTTAGGTCATGCCTTACTGTTCTGGACGCGGTACTGTGAGGTAGGTTCTGCATGATGGTAGTACCACATAAACGAGTCCTACGGAGCGATTCAGACCAATATAGCAACAAACAGAATAAAAGGACTATTCACACTCACCAATGCGTTCGTAAATTAATTGTTTTGGTTACGTGGCCCACATCCGTTTTGTAGTTACGTGGTTTACACATTGTATTTCGCATTCTAATGGGACGAAGGCGCTCAAGTGGTGGCTCCGATGAGGACGCGGCGCGCGCGCCGGCCTCTAAGTCTCATCTTCCGTGGGGAATGGAGAAGAAGGAGATGCAGCCTAGTTCACTGACGTCGCTGACTGATGACAAATTGGCGCGCTTTGTGCTGGGCCATCAGAAGAAGACCAAGTTCCAGAAGGTTTGACGTCACTAGAACGCTGCTAATTAGTAGCTAATTTTCTAACAAAATGGGTAATTATAGGAGAGAGAAGACCGCGAAGCTAAGAAGCGACAGGCGGACGAAGAAGCAGCCATGATCTATGCGACGTTCGTGGCATCCTTCGATAACGAGGACGAGACTAAAGGCAAGACGTTTGTGAGGGCAGCAATTCAAGGCGATCGACAGTCAAGTGGAGAAATGTACCGGCTAAAATCTAAGGAATCGGATGGTTCTTTAGGACCTTTTTCTGCTGAAATTAGAGGGTCGGTGATGAACAAAAAGTCGAACGAAAATAAAGGGAAAGAAACGGAGCAGATGCAACTTAAAAGACAAATTATGACGATTCATAGGCCTAAAAAGCGACGAGCCATTGATGAGTTCTTAGAGGAGATGAAAGAGCGAGGTCCTGCGCCGGTCTCGCTGGAAGGAGCTGAGATCGTCAAAGGATCGTTTGATGATGGCAATCCCGACACGACGAATTTGTATGTGGGGAATCTGGCCCCAACGATCACTGAAGAAGTTTTGGAGGTTTGTGATATAATGCTACAGGTTATATGCAACTAGAAACGTGTATCTGGCAGCTGACGACTTTTTGAATGACTGTAGGCGGAGTTTGGACGGTTTGGAGAAGTATACTCGGTAAAAATCATGTGGCCTCGATCGGAAGAAGAGCGTGCACGTAAACGTAACTGCGGCTTTGTCAGCTTCTACGAGCGTCGTGACGCTGACGATGCTCGGGTCAATTTAGACAACAAGGAGGTGCGTGTTGTACCGCATTGTTTTCGTGCGCAACGCCCTCACCTGTATTTTACTTGAACCTTCACATGTGCAGTTGGAAGGTCAGCCTATGATTGTTGGATGGGGTAAAGCAGTTAAAATTACGCCTCGGGATCGCACCTCTGAAGTGTTTCTCCCATCAACGGTAACATCGGCTTCTGTCATGGCTGTTGATAAGCAGAAACTAACCAGCGATCAGACTATTAGGATCGAATTACCTAATGAAGAAGTAAGGCGACGTGTGGATCACCTTGCTCACTATGTGGCGACAGATGGACTTCAGTTTGAGAATGCTGTTCGCATGCGTGAAGCTAACAATACGGACTATGATTTTCTCTTCAAATCTCAGTCTACCACAGCGTTGTATTATCGGTGGCGAGTCTACTCATTAGCAATGGGAGATGATGAGTACTTATGGCGTAAAAGGCCATTTCAAATGACCGATGAAGGGCCTGTGTGGATTCCACCTGATGTGCCTTCTCCGCCACATAAGAGCAGAAAGCGCGGATCTCGACTACCTGGGTGTTACGACACAGGCCCCACGTCGGGTCAGCAGAAACACAATAAAAGTGGAAGCTATGGTCGGAACAGGTCGCAAAGTTCCAGTCCGAGGTCTAGACGATCTCACCGACGAAGTGGAAGTGGCAGCTGTCATCGATCTCGTAGCGGTTCATTTAGCTCTGACGGTGACCGCGATGCCCGGAGAGCTCGGAAGCGCTATAGCCGAAGCAGAAGCAGAAGCCGCTGTCATCGCAGTCACTCGAGGTCATCTGATAACTCAAACTTACAAGTACGTAGTCGTCGCTCGCGTTCCCGAGATGACAGGCGTCGTGATGACAGCCGACATGAACGAAGCCGACAGATAAGGCATGTTGATGGCCGAAGTGGACAAGAAATAGGTTATATTGATAAGACTGAAAATCTACTGACCGGGCAGCAAATTGCACGTGCACGTGACATGGAGAGAGGTCGGGAACGAAATCGATTGTCAGGTGAAGACTACGATGATTTTAAAGAATTGCTGGGCAAATTGACCTTGGAGAGAGAATCCGTGAAAGAGACGATGGGCTTTGCTTTGGACAAATCAGAAGCAGCGGTGGATCTGGTTAACATTATTTTGGAATCTTTTAAGAGCTCAAATTCGTCTGGCGTCACTCTCATTGGCCTTTTGTATGTGACGTCCGACATTTTGCACAACAGCTCGGCTGCTGTGAAGAATGCTTCGCTTTTCCGCACGATGTTTCAAGAATGCCTACCAGAAATAATGGATACGCTGCGTGTTGTGCACAAAAACATAGTTGGTCGCATGTCGGCAAATGCGATGAAGGAAAAGGTGATGAATGTGCTCTCTGCTTGGGGAAATTGGAGTTTATTCCCGCCAGCTGTGCTTTTAGGCCTTCATGCTTCATTTCTAAGAAAAGTGGAGGAGGACGAGTATATGGCGTCAAGCAAGTTTCGTATCGACGGCATTGGTGAATCCGATCTAGAGCGACTACGTAAGACATGCCGACAATCAGGAATTATGGCTACTGGAGATGCAAAGCGGCTTGTTGCTCGCTTACAATGGCTCAAGGAGTTTACGTCACCGGCTGCGTCAACTGATCCGTGGCAGACAGTGCCAGTTCTAATGCCCGGTGCTCAACCGAGACACGAAGTCGATACTTCGGGCGGGTTAAAGGCTCACACAGACGACGTGACAGCAAAGGAAATTGAGAATGTGACGAGAGAAGACGGACTTAACTTTGCTGGTGGTTTGATTGATGAGGAGAATCTGGAAGGGGATTCTATTGATGGAGAGCCAATAGTTGAGGATAGTAACGATATTGACGGCGAGCCTATGGATGAAGAAGAGCTTGATGGCGAACCATTCGACCCCGATGAAGGTGGAGACGGACTAGATGGAGAGTCACTTGATGGCGAAGATTTTTTAGACGGAATTCCAATGGATGAAGGTATGGATGGGGGGAGCCTATCTAAGCTACCATAGTTTACGATGCGGATTCTGCATGCTACCAAATCTGTTTTCGTAGCCCGACCAAAGTCATGGTTTATGGTTATCGAGTTGAAGGTGTCGCTTTTGCTCCTCTTTCTTGCCAATTGATTTGGTCTGCACTGGGCGCATATACTGTATATATTTACTCGCTTCGTCGTCGCCGGTTTTGTTTGTTCATGTTACATGTTTGTAAAAGAATCGAACTATATATTAAGGTCATCGTAGTTTTGTTGCAACATAGTATAGTAGTACAGTGGATGGACATTGGCCTTTTGCCAAAGGAAAGAGTTTTAAACAACAAGTAAGGATACGATAGTAGTGGTGGAGCTATAGCAGTTTTGGCATGGTGTTAACATCACTTTGATGGGTTTCTGTCGTTGCCAATTTTTTCGATCACCTGCAGTCATTGCACACGTTTTTTTATACAATCAGATGGTCAAACGTTCCGAGCACCGAAACGTACCTCGATATGCAAAATCGATCGCGAGGACATTTTTAGCTTTATGGACATCAGCCATAGCGCAGGTAAGCCAGCAGTTACTGACTCGAAGGAGCTAGACGCGCGTAGCAGTGGGCACACCACCTTAATCGTCGTGATGAATGGAAGTAGGGTGGCGGCAAGGACGCACTAAACGCTACGGTTACGAGAAAGTGGTCGAAGTTGTGGCGCTCGCCAAGGATTCTATCAGTAAGAAAGCAACGTTGTTACGCTTTCTGATAGCACATGTCATGTCTGTCCGTTGATCTCTTACATCGTAAGCTAGACTTGCATGGTCATGGGATCTTGTCGAAAACGTTTACGCAAATGGGACAGTCAATGTTAACGGACAAATGCTATTACTCCAACAGAGACCGCGACTTCGATCGTTTCGATTGAAGGGCGGGAAATACTTTTATCAGTTTCATCTTATTCCGCGGCTATTGAACGAGCAGTAATTGTAATGATTTACCTCGAAATGATTAAGGTACGACGTTTTTCTTTTTTTTGTGAAGAACAGCGACTGGAAAAGAACCTTACAGCCATTTACACGTATCCATCCCCGACTTTGTAAAGAGAAGCCTAGAAAATCTGTAATTGCAGACAAAGAGAGATTCGTGCTAACAATGCGAGCGGAGCGAATTTTACAGAAGTTCATCGCAAAATTTATCGTAGGGACTCAAAACATATTTGCGGAAAGAACAGACGATGACTGGGTACGATATAAAGAATATACGGTGAAACGGAGGTTTCGTTTTTAGCTTGTGTTGCGAATTTGTCGTGATGCTCATGATTTGGACCGAGTTTTTGCGCTTGTAGTGATGCTGAAACTAGCGATGAAGGTGAGGGTCACAAAAAGAAGAAACTGACTCAAGCGCATGATCATTGCTATCTGTCTAACCTGAAAAAATGCATCCGATGCCTGACATCACATTTCTGATCAGTTCTAATGTCACGCGCTTTCTCAGAGTATGAATCAAACGATATTGCTGTCAACAGACCCATTAACCACTTTGAGCTCTCTCGAATGATTTTAGCTTGAACTTTACCATCAGTTGAATTACACTTTATTATTGCCGACCCGCTCTACATTACTGTAATACTACACCATTTTTCCTCTATAATTATAATTCGCTTCATGTTGGGCACTCAATCATTCTCATAGCAAGCTGTTGGTATATTATACAGCTAGAGCAATTTCTTAATCTAGGAGTCCGTCCCCATTTCAGCTACTTGCATGGTCCTAGAGAACGCGGGAGAGCGTAGGCAGTGTCCACCTCTCAGCGGAAATACTCGACCGCAGACAGAGGCAATCGGTGGCGAATTCTTTTATTACATAAAGGGGTGGAATTCGACAAAGCCTCTCCCTGCTGTTGTCAAAGCTGCACTGGGGTCATGGATGCTTGTTTTTGGCCTTCCGAGACGCCATCATAAGAAACAAAATGCACACTCTACATCAATCGATTTAGAATGACCTGTTTCTTGATAATTGTGCTCCTTTTCGCAACAGCAGTCCCCTACGATGAATCTAGTGATGGCCACCTACGCTTCAGTAGAGCAGGTTTGAGTGCACAGCCATCGTGCATTCGTCGTGTCAACTAACCGATCGCCACGACGCAATTTACAACCCTATTTGCTTTATGAAACGTTGCATCCTCTTTGTACAGCAGAAGACTGTAGTTAACTAAGGCTTGACGTACATGTCTGCGAAAGAAAGCACGCGGCCAGACATAACGCGCCTGGATGTTTGTTTAATTTAGAATGTCAGAGCATTTATCAAAAACTGCTAACAAAAGCGTTAATTCAGGCCTCTGCTCTTTCAAAGACAAAGCCTCCTTAGTGAGGCTTCAAAGCTGTACCACCATGTCATGCCATGTCTTCGTTGCACAATTCCCTCATTTTAAATCTAGTGGAACGCTCGTTGTTATCGAGTGGCTACTAAAGTCGAACTATGTGTACGAGAGAGTTTAAAGTCATTAGTGTAAGTGCTACTGAATTAGTAGTAGTACTACTGAATTAGTAGTACTACTGAAAAATGATGGCGTGCGAGAACAATAGAGATACAGAGCATCTGAGCCAGGTACGGCGTTGCCACTTGCAACGACTTCAGCACATATACATCTACATTTCTAGACAGCAGTGTTGCCTTAACATTCGCGCTACTTTTAAGTTGTTTTCTATGATTACGGTAGTAGCCTCCGCTAACGGACGTCTGTAAAATCTGAGAGCAAGAATCGGCATCAATTGCTATCGCTTTCACAAATTACATGGGCACTTCGTCGACCTTCTGCACCATCTGGTTAATCAGTTGTCTGGTTGCGTCTTCTTTGAAAAATATTGCTCAGACAGGTTTTTACCTGACCGACTCTCTTTGACTCTCCCACCTAGCCGTTCATTCCAACAAACAGCGTGGCGCAGGACTTCCTTGTGGCCAAGCCCTTGGCACTCGTTTCACTCACAAGCAATCACTCCGCGAACCTGGAGTATTTAATCACTCGATTAGAAGGTCGAAACAGAAAGGCAGCTAGCTAGCTCTCGAGTCAGCAACAACAGACATACAAGTATGACCCCCAAAAGACTCGGGGTGTTTCTACTTCTTGCGCTGTGTGCGCTGACGCTTGTCACGGCACAGACTTCCACCGACTCCACAAAATCGACGACGGGGACGATGATGGGGACGACGACGGATACGCCGGACACGACAGACTCGACAGACACGACAGACACAACAGACACACCAGACACCACAAGGTTGACGGACACCACAAGGTTGACGGACACCACAAGATCGACGCCCACCGTCACGTCGACGCCCACCACCACGTCGACGCCCACCACCACGTCGACGCCCACCACCACGTCGACGCCCACCACCACGTCGACGCCCACCACCACGTCGACGCCTACTACCACGTCGACGCCCACTACCACGTCGACGCCCATTACCACGTCGACGCCTACCACCACGTCGACGCCCCTCACCATGTCTTCGGACGACACTGACCGCTCGGTAGACGTGTCGCCAAAGACGACGGATACCACACGAAGTCACAGCACCAGCTACTTCGACATTGACTAACACCCCGATTAATGCCCCCGCTACGACGACCAATGCCCCCGCTTTGACGACCAAGACGCCGACTAACACGGCTAATGTGCCGACTGCGACGCCGGCCACTCCAAATGCGGAGACTGCCGCTAGTACGACGGAGGTGTCGCCTTCTGATGAGGCTGACACTACGTCGCCATCTGCTCCAGACTTGACATCCGAGTACGGAGCGGCGGCTAGCGGCACCGGCACTTTGATTAACAGCGACACGGAAAGTTCGAGCTCTTCCTCGACGTCGAGCTGGTTGGCGCCCGTCGTGGTGGCTGCTGTGGTGCTGGTGGTCCTGCTAGTTATCACGTTCTACGTGCGCAGGCACAAGCGCGACGACCAGGACGACGTGGACCGACCAAGCGACAATTTCTTTCAGGCCCCAAGTTCGACTACGAACAAGTACGCTAATAACGCTGGAACAGGCGGAGACAACGGCATGGGGTCCGCGGAGGAGCGCGCCCAGAAGGGATATGTGATGGGCATGCGCAAGGAGTCGGCAGCGACTGCGGCGCCTGCTGCCATTCCGCCCCTGTCTTCCAAGATGCGGAGCGACTCGGTGACCGGCGCCCCGCAGTCGCACAACCGCCAGGACTTGGTGCCTATTCAGGATGAACCGCGTTTCACTCTGCAGCAGCAGGTCGAGCTGGAGCAGTCACAGCATTCGGTGCGCGTGGCAGGCGTACCGCAATCTCCACAGGCAATGACAAGCCTGGCCGGTCGATCATTCAAGCCGGGCACTTCATTTGAGCAGGGCCAGTCATACGACTCGTCTTACCCGACGTCCGGTTCTTCCGTGCCGGGCGTGACGCTGTAAGAGGCGGCAAGTGCTAGCAGCACCAATATGACTTGTACATTCCTTTTTGATCGTAACTGCGCAACACAAATAAAGGAAAAGTTTATAAATTTTGGTATTCACCTATAGTATTGTCAATTAAGATATATGGATATATTTACTATAGTTACAGCAAATTTGTTTTGCAATGTGTCCGCGTGGCCTAATGGATAAGGCATCGCCCTCCGAAGGCGGGGATTGGGGGTTCGAGTCCCCTCGAGGACGCTTTAGCTCTTTTGTGGTTTAAGAAAGCAAATTTTGTCTGACATAAACAAAGCCCGACTTAATACGTAAATAGTGCCTTGGGCGCGTGCTACTTCACGAGCCTTTCCTATGTCGAGTGCTGGTTAAGCTCTTAAAAAGCTTCCCATTGTTCTAGTTTCTGCGCCGTTGGATTGCCGTGTATCTTTACGAGTCAAAAATAAGACATTTCCACTAAAGTATATATACTGTAATAGAGCTTCAAATATCACACATCCGCTTCGATGTCTCCTAGAGACATATACTGATGTGTCATCCAGTCATGTATAAGTGCTCAATCTTGCGTACCTTCTGCATAACATCTTCCTGTAGACGAAGTAGTAGTCTTTGTGATTGATGCGAAAGTAGCTAAGGCGTCCGAACTGAACTTCGATAATTCGAGTAGTGACAAGATCGGAGGAGGCATGAGATTAAACACTGTGGTTTGAAAATTCAGCGTATGAGTCAAGATCGTAACATGTAAGAAACATTTTCCAGCAATGCTTCCTATTCAGAATCGGTCGAAGAAACGTAAAGATGTAAAAGTGGAGGGAGTAGCGACACTCTGTAATATATTTCAATGACTGACAGCAGTAAGTTGGCGCACTGATTGTTGCTCAAACCAGTTTATGGGTCGGAGAGCGTCGAGGCACAACAACAGCGAAACGAAGCAAGTGAAGAAATGGCGATGAAACCGCACGAGGATCACCATAGAAGCCGTACGAAGGATATGTGATAAACTCTGCCTTCAATGCACAGCAATGCTTGCATGAGTGGCATGTTCGTGAGTCGAAATTTGCTGATCAGTGGGAAAAAACAGCGATGGACAAAGAAATGGCACCGATAAAGGCCAAGAGTGTGTTGAAAAAGTTTCTGAAAAACGAAAATGCAAAAGGGTACAAAGACCAGTAAGACCATGTAAGTCTACAGCATGGAGTCTGATCATTTGAGTCATTGGTCAAAAGCAACGTCCAGAAATTGATTATGACGAGATGATCAGCCCTGTCGCATGCAAGGTTATGTGTCGGGTGCGTCTACCTATCTACCAGGGTGGTTTCACAGCTATTCAAACGCCCTAATATGGACAAAATATACCTGAAATCCTGGAAGGCTATTCATCTGGGATCGATGGTATGGTTTACGTGAACCACAAGGCTTATATTGTCTATAGCAGCTGGCTTAGTAAGCATGGAAGTGAAGGGATGGCTTCCTCGTTATGGATACAAGCGATATGCCATGGAACCGTGTTTGTAATACTACGACCATGACGCAAGTATACTATCATCTTGCTTTCAGTTAATGTTTATTTTTGCTGTGCCTCGAAATTGAAGCATTTAAGAAAAAGTTCCACGAAGACTTTAGTATGAAAGATTAAGGCCTATATATATGGTGTTGAACTAGAGCAGAAATATAAGGATCCTCCAAACTACGTATCGTATATATTTCGTCGTCCGATCTAACTTTGGCGATGCATACGCCTAAAAAATTGTAGCAACGACAAATTAGATATTCCGTGAACGATATCAAATCAAGTATGTATCCGAGCATGGCAAAATATTTACGTATCGCAAGCTCATTAATTCGTCCATGTATTTAGCGACGTGTACCAGACCAGATGGATTGGGCAGCTCAGCAGATACCTGCAAGGCAGGACACAACATCACATTGGCGCGGCCAAAAGAGTCCTGCGGTACGTAAGTGGCACCAAAATTGAGTTGTCGTAGCAATCTGCGCTGATCATTAAACGATTTTGCGACTCAGACTGTGGCGCCATTCGTTCTGATAAAGACTCCGTTTGAAGGGTGCCGTCTACTTTTGACGGCATTGCTGCGGTGTAGTCGGCGGATATACTCGCATCTTCACTTGGACAAATGCAGTGACACTCTCCAATACTCCAAAATCCTTACGTGATCCGTAAGAAGATCCTCGAGTCATGGATACTTTGCACGCATCCTCTTCCGACCACTTTAAGCAAATCGGCTTGCCATGTCACTATTCTCTCTCTCTCTTCCTTTAACAAAACTATGCGTATGTAAAGTCGTGAAATATGATGGCTCGTAACGCTTTGCCTATCTTGGCGGAAGAAAACGGAAGACGACAGCTGCGGCGACAATCACAACCAAATGATGATTGGACTGGTCTATGGAGCCATCCCGAGTCTGGTCGATGTATCAAGCGATGTGGAGGTCGCCAGTCGACCGACCGTTGGACTAACTAGTAGTCTGCAGACGTTGCAGGTTAAGTTTCGTTTCCGGACAGGCTGTGCTACAGTCGCGGACCGTTATAGTACATTTACGCTAACGGCAAAAAAATTGGCTTATCGCGGCCGCAACTCCTGTTCTTGCTAAGCAAGATTAATCGATTTGGATACGCAAGCACGTGTTAGTGTACCAAGAACGCAGCTGTATCAACGACGCGCTACCTCTTGACAGAAGTGCGATAATGGGCAAATCTTCAGCGTCTTTGGCATGAACGAGAAGCACGCAAAGCTTTGTTTTATGTGTGTGTGGCAGATACGGTATCAATCTTGTATTTCCATAGTACTATTGCTTATAAATATTTAGCCACAAGAAGCGACTGCAATGTCTTACAGCAGCTTAGGGTTAAACACTGCCAGCCTCCGTCGCACGAGATTAAAGACGCCGTTACGGTGAAAAAGACAGCAAATCTCAAAGCGGGTCTTAACCAGCAGAAGGCGCTCCTTCTTAAGCGCAACAGACTGGCTATGCAGCTGCTCGAACTGCTGCTCGTGGCTCGCGCGTGCGTCGCCCAGCACCTTCAACAGCTTCTGTTCCTCCTTGCGCTCCTCGGTCATCTCCAAGAGCGCTGCCGCCAAGTCGCTCACCGTACAAACATTACCGGCCTCAAGCTCACGCACAAACTCGTCAATGTCTTCAATACGATCGTGACAGTCGTCAATGTCGTCACTGTACGACTCAACCTCCTCCTGTTCGTCCTCGAGCGCTAATTCCAGATCACCTAACTCCATCTCGACCTTGCGAAGACGCGCCACTGTGGCCTTCAGCACCTGAACTAGCGCGTAGTTGGTTACCTTAACGATACGCCTCGACGTCTGCTTATCCATGGCCACCTTCATCTGCATTTTGTATGCGAGTGTGGGAAAGAATCCACCGCTATTGATGCCTTTTATTTTCTTTGTGGAAAATCCGAAAGTGAAGATTGCTGCGCCTAGTCATCAGCAACAGTCTTTCTTTGCACTCAATGCTGCGCGGCTGAACCAGCCAATAGCAACGCGGAATGGCGCCACCAATTTTACCAAATCTAGATTTTGAATTTAGAATATGTTGTGCACTAATAAGATGTGAGAACTGGGAAAGGTATAAAGGCGCATAAGGAGAAACATACATTGCAATACATTACAGCCCAACCGATTTTATCTCCGATAACACTCGACGCCAGCTGCGGACATGGATGTCGCGAGCCGTCGGCTGACTGTGAACATCCACAGTTGCCATCCATCCACTGCTGCGAAAGGACGTTGCCGTTGCCTCGCAAAACGTTTTAATGGAAGCAGAGCGCATTCTCCATGGCCTATCATACCGGTCAATCTGGTGGTGTACACCATATGGTGACTGCTCTTCTTTACGGAGATGACCATCGTCTACGCAAAAACGTGGCGTTTTCGCTAAAATGGACGTGCTACGTTACCGAATCGTTGCCGCATCCTGGATAAGAAGGTAGGTCAGTTCAGCATTGTCCGGTCGACACAGACTGACTGTGAGCTTCAGGATCGGCTTCGCACATAAAAAGAGTATGCGACGACATACAGTAGAAAAAAAGAAAAGAAAAAGTCTTTAAAACTCCATTACGATACATACATGGATTTGAGACTGGTACTTGCAACGAACGGTAAATTTCTGATAACTTTATGTTCATGAATTAGAACATGCTCATACACACGCATTGGCAATCAGGCTTCATTACAAAGTTACACATGACACATGAAGTGAGTTCACATGCTACTCTACTGGAGCAAACTGTGCGAATTCTTAGACCCCTTTCGTGATGCTCAGCTTTTAGATGGCCAAGCGAACCTAAAGGCTCTGGAGATTGCTGGCAAGGCAGACACAAACTTATATAAGCTGTCACTGCAGCTGCGACGTCGGTGACCAAAAAGCCTTTCAATGTACCGTAACTCACACGCCACATTAAGCGCGAAGCAACGACTTGGTCGCAGCCCAGAGGCATTCGTTGAGGCGGCAAATGCGCCAGCGTCTTCACTACTTCGACCTTGTGCAGGCGATTGGATCTTGCTTGAACCCAGCAATTTTAGTGTCTTGGAAGATCGGTGGAGTACACTTTGAACCCGCTATCGGCAAGCTTCAAATCGCGCACGACACAACGCTGAAACAAAGTAAGCTTTGCAAGTTGCGCTATCACACCGAGTGAAGATGCGCCAACTCACAACCCCGTTGTTGCTTTGAAGCAGATGCTTTACGGACGGGCGATCGTTTGAACAAAACAGTAATTGCATTAGCCAGATAGCATAAACACACAGATAAGAACACCTCCAGGCGTCTTGGAGAGATCACAATCGATTTCCTGCAGCGTGTAAACTCTTCTGCTTTATGCATTGGTGCAAGACTCGCACAGAAATGGTGTCTAGCCACTTCTGTGCACGTGACTACAGTTGCAGTCACACAATCTGTTAAGTCTCTATGACTGTCAAAGTCGTGACGTTTGTGTCCGTCCCCAAGTGATGTGTGCTCCAACCACACAGCAAGCACTTGCCTACCCCAGGCAGCAAATCTTGCGTCTTGATTCAACTTGGTCGCAACCTCTCAATGTATAGACATAAGTTACGTTAAGTACGCTGGGCTCGGAGTAGCCAGAAGTAGCCAGACTCAGACTCAGTGGCTGACTACTTTTACCTAAAACCATGGGCTGGGTATGCGTAAGTGGCTTTACCAACCCAATTACCCATGGGTACCCATGGTGGTACATGTACCAAATTTTGTGACATACACCTGATCCACCATCCTACACCTCTCTTACTTCTTTACACTATACAATCAAAAATCGAAAATTAAAACCGTCACTCCTTACTTTCCATCTGACACACATTTTTGATGGAGACAGTCAGGACTTGTCCATTAATCCAATGGTCAGTGTTATCCCGTTACACAGGATGCAACCGTACTGTGTGGGGCATTTCTGCTAGTATAAAATAATTAATTTATAATATCTTAATTAACAATTAACAATCACTTCTATAAAAAGCCAGGACACAAACAGGAATCAAAAAATAATGTAAAGGGGTGGGCCAGATGCATAATATTGGCACTAGCAATAAGTGCCTTTAAAATATTATAAAAGCTAATAATACTTGATAATAGTACCTTTTTCTATAATATTGTCCCTACATCTCCTTGAAGCTGGAAATGCCCTCTAACGGGTGATATAGGCCACTATATCAACCAAGGCGCTGACCAATGACCGATGGACCTGTCAATGAATGGAGGGCACGAAGGTAGCGTACATAGTTGTAGTTTAATATAATTAAGACAAGGTTATCAATGTTTTAGTTTATTAGATACTTAACTATATTAGATACAGTTCTCTTTTACTCTACTACTAAGCGTGTCATTTAAAGGTAAAGCTTGCTCTGCCTCTTGTGTAAAAGAGGTTTGAGGCACCTGCTTTCACTGTCATCAGTGAAGGTAGACTATACTGTTATCAGTATAGTCGGAGGGTACCTCATTACACCTGGCAGCATGTGTGGTCCGTTTAGCGACCACCGCACCATCCGTTATGGAATCAGCGGATAATGATTTCCGCCATTAGAGTGATCTCGAATGGAATGCGGTTCAGCGTATGGCTTAAATCATCGGCAAACCTGCCGTTAGTGCCATGTTGCTCTCTCTTAGCGGAGACGACCAACATGCAACCATCGCCAAGTTCATACAACATGAACTTGACGAAGTTGTAAATAAACTCACCTTGCTAGAGGAGCAAGGTTCTCAACAAATTGAACTGTTGAGAGAACAAGGCGCTCAACTAGCTGACTTGTTGATTCAGCAGGGTGCCCAACAGTCTGAATTGTTGAGACAACAGCAGGCTAGTGCTTTTCTGCCGGTCGACGTATACACGTCGACCCGAGTCCTTGAAGATTGATGTTTCCAAGTACAAGGCAGTCGAAAGCTACTCCTTGTTGAAATGGTTTGTCGAATTCGACGATGCCATTGAGGCTCGTCGCATCGATGACGATGCGATGAAGGTCAAGTTCGCCATGTCGAACTTGGCAGTACGTGCAAAAGCTTGGGCCTTAACACTCAAACTGCATGACCCATACGTTTTGTAAACGTATGATGTCTTCAAGGCGCGGCTCAAACATACGTTTGAACCGATTCGCGCCGAATTTAAAGCTCGGGCCGAGCTCCTGGATCTGAAATAGGGTAAGCGTGATATACACGCTTACGCCCAACACGTACGATACCTCGTGCGTTGTATCGTGCTGAACCCAATCGATGAACGCACGCAGGTTACTGTGTTTGTCAAGAATCTGACAGATGGTCCTGTCAAGACCCACCTGTTCCGCTTAGAACTCGAATCGCTAGATCAAGCGATCTCTACAGCGGAACAGGAGGACTCTAGCCTGCAACAGGCTCACGTCCAATCGGGATCATATCGTCCACCGAGAAGACAGGAGGGCGGAGATACAGCAACAATAGACCTCTCCTATGTGGGAGCGATCTAACTCGCTCTCCAGGGTACAAGCGATTGCAAAGTGCAATCGATGTCAAAAGATGGGTCACTACGCTCATGAGTTTAGTGCCCCACGCCCAGTGTCTCGTAACTATGGGAGTGACGATCGTCCGTCTGCCAAGAAGGGCCATAAACGTGTTTCCTAAGTTGCTGCAAAATCGCAACAACGTGGTGGACCATCAAAAAATGGTAGGGGTCAGTAGGGGCGGAGCGCCGTACTGATCCAGCATTGTTAATAAAATTTGCGAAGCTCCTGACGAAGGCTGCTTCCAGCACAAAGTCACTGTGCGTTGCCGCTCCTAGTGATCATCACTTTGCAGACCGAATTGACAAAGAACATGTCATGGTTGATTGTGGGGCGTCAAACAACTTTGTTTGACGCCAATCGCTAGATGATCGTAGGCTCAAATATGTTGAGCGCGAGACCCCTCCAACGAGGATGACGGTGCGCCTTTCAACTGGCGCGTCCGTAACAGTAAAGAAACGTGTAGTAGAAATTTACTACACGCTTGTAGGTAAAGAGTACGATGATGGTTTCATCGTACTCGATCTCGAGAGCATGATGATCGAACCGGGGCCTCCATCATCACCCACTGTGGTCGAACCTAGGTTCCCACTTGGACACATTGTGGTTGAGCAGGGGATCCCACACGAGTACAACGTGGACGGACAGGAGACCCCACGCGAGAGCATGATGGTCGAACTGGGGTTCCCATCATCACCCACTGTGGTCGAACCGAGGCTCCCTCATGGGCATATTGTGGTTGAGCAGGGGCTCCCATACGGGTTTACGGCGGCCGAGCAGGGGCTCCCGCAAACAAGTGAGGCGGTCGAAGACGAGCTCCCGCTTTTGATTGACGAGAATGGGCGTACTATGGATCCGCCATGAGACCGACGTAGTGGAGACAGAGCTACCACGTCTAGAGGGGGTTACATCATCCTCTTGTGATAGCGACGTGCCAGTTTCGAGCAAGGGCTCGAGACGCAAAATAAAACGCAAGAAAGGAGCACGCCGATCACCGAAACGACGAAATACACGTCAAAAAGCTGGTGCAGATGATTCCGTAGTGACGGAATCCGTATGCGCGCTTGAATATGTGGAGGGATCTACACATCGTGACCGCTACATTGAGGTAGCGAGTCCACCGTGCACTGCTGCAGATATCACATCTCTGCCAGACCTTGCATGGAAAGGCTTCCTTCATGACCTCAAGGCCGGCGACATCGAGCAAGTGTGCATCGTTTCAGCCACCTAAACAGCCAGTGAAGAAGTTCTAGAGGCTCGCCCGAAGAGCGCCGAGCCTAAAGTAGCGCGCGAAGAACGCTCCGCGGCACATTCTTGGGATGCTCTTCGTGCTTCGGGCAACCCTATGTACA